CGAGAAAAAAAAATCACATCCGCGACGACGGAAATTACCCTTCATTATGATCATTTCTCGATTCCCAAGATTTCCAACGGTCTTCACTGAAGGATGGTTAAAAAACACGCAAAGCCTGTCTTTTTAATCCCACAGGCGAGACAAAATCTTCATTCACAGAAGAGAATGCCATTCAATGCTTGAAACTTACGATGTTACTTAGCAAGTTAACCGCCACGAGGCGCACCGGTGCGCCTCACCGAATAGGAAAATCAATAGGCCAGCATTGCCGTGGCGATCAACGTGTTAATATATATTACTGATTACTTAATATTTACTTAATTTAAATTTAAAAATATAAAAATTTATCGCAACGCGATATTCGTGTCGATCAAACAGCGGAACAGTACGTAATTACACACGCATCGAGTCGATAATGATACTCATTACATTAAATTAGTTACCAGCTCGCCTCGGAGGGTCCGAGCCGGGCGACCGTGCGAAGAGCCTCGGAGGGACGAGAGCTCGTCTCCTCGAGGCCCTTCCGACCAGGGCGACTGGGCAGGCGAAAGGCGAGAGAAGTCTCGGCAATATTGGGTTCCCTGATACAGTTACGGCTCCCTGATAGATGAAGCAGAATGGAACGGTAAATCATTAATGATAAAAATACAATAAAAACAAACTGAAAGGGAGCCTACGTCCACATGACGTTCCGGCGACGGTCCACCTTTGCTTTCTACTAGCAACGAATTTCTCACCTTGAGCATTCTGCCGATCCGTTTTTGGCAGACGGTGTTTTACTTTCGTTATTTTTACCTTAAAAAAAAACGCAGCCTGCTGATTACCTAATGAATGCCTGCTGAATGTCGTACCCGTACGCATACGATTATCGAATGGAGACAGTTAATAAAAGCCGATTTGAAAAAATTAAAATGACTGACTAGAAACGGCTTTTCTTCGGCTGAGCCCAAAGACTTATCGAGTAGAAAGTATGCATTTCTTTACTATTCTATTTTACATTCTATTTTTACTGCGGTGAAGAGTTAGGGGCTCTTTCTATTTCATAGCATATATGGTTTGGTGATGAGAAAGGGCTCTGAGTAGTTAAAGGCGTAGGGTGGATGTTCGAACTGAGAACTATCCGATAATGCAGCTTTATTCCAGAGAAAATACTTGATATTTCCTGGAAATAAAGCAGCATTATCGGATAGTTCTCGGTCCGAAACTCCACCCGTAGATTTTTACGTAAATTTGTGGAACATTTTTCGCCCTTTCCGTGTTCGTCTTTCCGTGCCCTTCCTTGTGAAATTTTATCGCAAGTTTTCACTGAGAGCTAGCGCGTGATTCTCGTGAAGTGGATTACAGGATGGACAAAAGGAAACCTGGAAAGCGTTTGAGCTTCCATGAAAGTCTCTGGATCGTCGAATCTGTGAGAAATAATGCATGGATGAGTTTAAATTATATTTAAGTATCATTTAAATGTTTTAATCTATTCATAAGATATGAAAATATCGATTCAGGAGGGACTCAAACCACTAGTCGATCGAGTGAGGTACCACAACCGAAATAATAGAATAGATTGAAAATGCTGCCAATTGCGAGAATAGAGTCTAGAGACTGAAAATTGGCGATGAAAATTGGCCATGAGAATTGGCGACGAAAGCGGCCGAAGAGCACTATGCTCACAGCAACACCTCGCGAGCATTTTTTCTATTAACATTCGCAGAAACGCGAACCGATCTTTAGAGATGAGTTTTCTTTAACCTGCAATCGACCTGCAATCGGCCTGCAACCGACCTGCAATTGGCTGGACAAAATCAGAATGGACCAATGACCACCCAGGCAGTCTTTTCGCGTTCGCCGAGGGGATCAGCAGCAATGTCGTGTTAATGATACGTCACAAGAAATTGGCACTTAACTTTCCCTAGAGGAAAAAGCTTTGCCCTTTCTGCGTCTTTTCAAATTCGTATAAACTCCTCCTTCGTCATCACGTGCTGCGATCACGGCAATTTGCGCTTAATTGGGAACGTGCTCCTCATCCACAAATTCTACTCAATTAGCCTTTTTGCGCGGAATGGGATGATGAGCAGTCTCGGAATAAGGTCTCGGAAAGGAATAAAAATGACCCAGCCACCTTTGGCGACCATAAAATATGCAAATGTAATTTTTTCGTCGCGGGACATCTCGTTCCGCCCATTGAATCAACATCGACATATCCTAAAGATGGCACAAATTTTTAGCGAAATAGCGGAAACGAAATCATTGAAAGAAATTCATCTTCCCCCCCCCCCTCCCCCCGGGAATGTCAAAGTTGTAATTCAAGAACCAGCTTATTCATGGATTGAATTTCCAGCGATTATGCAGAATCGTGAATTTAAATACCTTTTTAACTTAGGCGGCCCCGAATTCCAAATTAGTCCAGTTGCGGCCTCGATTTATCTTTTTTTTATTTATCGAAACACATATCTGAATATGACCTATTGTGTCGACTGTGTCTCGACACTATCAATCCAAATGTTGCACTTTCCGAAGAAAAATAAAAAATAGTGAAATAAAAATGAGATGGAAAAGCCATTATGAAATCTCGTGAACGGTTAGCAGTCAGCCTTGCGAGAAGGAATAATCTATTGTCCATTGTCTTTCGTCTTTCCTTTATCTCCTCTTTGCGCAACAAATTTTTTTTTTTGCATGGATGCGTGAAATCCATGCAATTCTGGCAATTCTGTGTAGGTTAGTAGTGTCTAGAAGTGCTGCTCTTGGAATGCGATAGTATCGTTCTAGTACCTCTAATTCCGAATCGATGGCTCTGCTATTATTTCAGCAGAGTAGTTCGAAAAATTAGAGGCCCAATGTTGAAAACTATCGGTCCATGGAGGCAAGACGTGTCGATTCGCACATCAAATTTCCGCAAAGTTGCGACGAAACTCGGGACAAAAATGACGCTAATTACATCCTCCGTAATTGGGGAGTCCTACGAGATTCGGATATCTCGAGCCTCTTCCCGTACTTAGTATTGGCAATCACGTTGAACTTACCGAAAATTTTATGGCATGGCAGCCGCACGTCAGAATTTCCCGCCGCGCACGCCAGAGATTCGCTTGAAAATAATACGCAACGAGCGCGTTGAACAGAAGCGATCCTCGTTCGTCCGTTCGAGACGCGGAGTGGAAATTCAACGCCTCAACGGGGTCATCGGGGGTCATTGGGACCAAAAGAACGGGACATTTCCAGTCGTAATTATGCGGCTTTCCAATCAGGGAGGATTCGTCGATCAGACTGCACTTGAATTCTGGTTTTGTGAGCCTTCATTAAGATCTCCCGTATACAGCGAGATTTCAATCGACGAGGCAACAGACGGGGAACTGGATTCGTACTATTACCGAAGAATTAATGGGGTTTCCAATTAAGATAGCACAGAGTTGGGACGGGATTCCGCTGCAACCCCATCGTTCCACATCCACAGCACAGACACGAAGAGCACGGAGCATCGCATCACAATTTATCATGCCTGCAAGGCATGAGAATGCAAGGCAATCTCTTAGGACGGAGATGAGCCATCCTCGGCGCAAACGTTACTGAGACGGCCTAGACGGCCTTTCCGTATATTTTTACATTCTCACTTTTTCTTCAATCGTCACCATGTTATATACCGGGTGGTCCAAAAAATCTTGGACTCCAAGGCTATCGATGAGATTTACAATGTCACTGGATGAAATCAAATTTTATTACGGGTGAAACTCTACATAGAGTATTGCTTGACATAAAGAAATGTTTATTTGATTTGAACAATAAATTTCCAGCAATCACAGAAAAATTTCAGTGGCCCCCATCTTCATCAATGCACATCACAACTCGCCGTCTGAACAAATCGATTGCTCTGTTTATTTCGGCTTGATCCAGGAGATGCCTGGCTTCATTAACACGCTCGATGAGGTGGTTTTCATCCCGAATGGCCTCAGTATACACGTGTTTACACAATCTTTCCTTATATAATAATCCACGAAATTGAGGTCAGGTGAAATTGGGGGCCACATGGCAGGTGGCACAAAGTCAGGGATACTTTGACAATTGCATTCCTGACCGATGGTTTATTATGTAAGGAAAGATTGTGTCAACACGTGTATACTGAGGCCATTTGGGATATTTAAAAAACCACCTCATCGAGCGTGTTAATGAAGCTAGGTAACTCCTGGATCAATCAGAAATAAACAGAGTGATCGATCTGTTCAGGTTACGAGCTGTGATGTGCATTAATCAAGATGGGGGCCACTTTGAAAATCTGCTGTAATTGCTGGAGATTTATTGCTTAAACTAAATTAACATTTTTTGACGCAAAGCAATTCTCTGAATGGAGTTTCATCTGTAATAAAATTTGATTTCATCAAAGCATCATCAGAGCTTTGTAGATTTGGGGGAAAAAAATCTTGGGGTCCAAGATTTTTTTATTATCTCTCTGTACGCGGTAGATGTCACGAGCCCCTGTATCATGCAGAAAGCTCGCAATTTGCACCTCTGTACCCATTAAACCATCAGGGAGGAGATAGCCAACATAATGAATCCCCAATCATCTACGATTGCTCTGCAGTCCGCGCCGGGGTCGCATTTCCGCAGCCAAGGTCGTCCCTTCGAGCGCAGTTCCACCGTCTCGTAAGCAGCAGACTCAGCGATGGAAGTGACCGCGTGCCCCGAAAGCAGTGCGACGGCGTACAAGAACGAGTGGGTGTGGAAGAATGTCGTCCTGTTTGGCGTCCTCCATGCTGCCACTCCGGTCGGGCTCTATCTCGGCCTTACGCGCGCGCATCCCTTCACCCTCGTCTTCTGTGAGTCTTCTTGTTCCTCGAGACTTGGCTCTTAAAGCATACCGTGTCAGAGGAGGTCCTGATATATTCCGTTGCGGCACTGTAAAGGTGAAGAATGTTCTAATCGACTATAGCGAAGATCTTTTCGAAGAACTGCATTTGGTTCAATAGCAACATTCTCAAAATCAATATGCTTCCTTGCATATTTTTTTCCCGCCAAAGTTGGAGTCTTGATTCTCTTCTCTGGGCTTGGAGTGACGGCAGGAGCCCATCGATTGTGGTGCCACAGGAGCTACAAAGCAAAATTTCCTCTTCGCCTATTCCTCGCCTTTTTCAACACCGTCGCCGTCCAAGTAAGTACATTCCACAAATCGAAACAGACCAAACACACCAGAAAGCCGCAAAATCCTATCTCTCCCTGCCCCCCACTACCCCCACAGAATGACATCTATGAGTTCAGCCGCGACCACCGAGTGCACCACAAGTACAGCGAAACGGACGCAGACCCCACGAACGCCCTGCGGGGATTCTTCTTCTCTCACATCGGCTGGCTCTTGCTCAAGAAGCATCCAGACGTGATCCGGAAAGGGAAAACCATCGACTGCAGCGATCTCCTGCAGGACCCTATCGTTTACTATCAGAGAAAGTCCGCCGAACCCTCACTTCCTATAGTACACCATCGCATATTACCAGACCAAATACTATTTCCCATTGATTTCCAGGTTCTACCTTCCCCTGATCATACTCTGCTGCTTCGTCTTCCCCATCGCGACCCCCTGGCTCTGCTGGGGAGAGGACCCATGGGTGGCATTCATGTTTTGTTCTGTCTCCCGGCTTGTCCTCGGTTTAAACATATCTTGGTTGGTGAATAGCGCCGCTCATCTGTGGGGACAGAGGCCCTACGACAGGTATGACCCCAGCTTTCGTATGGCCTTATCCGTCCATTACATTGACCTCAGAAAATCGCACAATACCTGTTTCAATCAAATCCACGGCTTTTGGGAAAATGATGTGCAGGATTGGGTTATTCCAATTTCTGGAAACCCCCCCTTTCGGAAAGATCTTGAAATGGAGAGTGTACCTACCTACAGTACTGAAGGCGGTTTTAACGTAGCTGCATCCTTTTTGTGGAACTCCGCAGAAACCTACATATATCTTATACCAGGTGGCGCAAAAAAAAACGCGTCGTGTTTGACGCCTTATAAAATCCGTCGTGGATGATCTAGGTTCGTGATATTTTCATATTACATTAGAAACATCACAAAATTTGTTTTATGAAAATATCATCTACCTAAGAGTCTGAATAAATATCGATAGTCGCCCAAAGTGGAATCATAAAATGGACCTTTCCGCACACGAGGAGGATGGAGTTTCAGGACAGCTCGAATGATTTCTCTACCTCGACATCATAAATACCGCTTTGTATGCCAGTTCTCATCGTCGTATTCAACACATCATAGAACAGTACTACTGTCGTACATCGTAGCATCAGAATCGGTACCATGCAGAATACTACGATGAGAACTGGCGTAAAAAGCGGTATTCACAACGTCAAGGGAGAGAAATCATTCGAGCAATCCTGAAACTCCATCCATCTCGCGTTCAGAAATGTCCATTTTATGACTCCACTTTGAGGGACTGTCGATATTTATTCAGACAACTTAGGTAAATGAAACTTTCAGGAAACAAATTGTGTGGTGCTTCCAACGTAATATGAAAATATCACGAACCTAGATCATCCATAACGGATTTTATAAGACGTCAAACACGATGCGTTTTTTTTTCGCCAACCGGTATAAACCTACATATGTCAATATTATGCAGAAAGGAAGAATCGAATCTATGCTTGAATAGATAATACGTTGGCTGCCTAGAAACTACGAGTGGAATATTAATTTTTGCGTAGTGGTAAAAGTCAGAAACGGTGGAAGATAACCATCCAGGCAACATACAAAACTCCCCATAATAACACCTAATAACCTCATGAAAAAGAAAACTTCCAAGATGAAATAAGTTTTTCCAGGGTGACTACCACTCAAATCAAATAACGAGTAGCTTGGTCCCCTCTCACTGGAAATCAAAATTTCACAAAAAAAATATGTGCCGATGCCAAGGGTTAACATTGACCTTAACCACACCAGAAACATCGGAGCGGTGGAGCAGAACATCGTGGGGAGCCTGGCCCTGGGCGAGGGCTGGCACAACTACCACCACGCGTTCCCCTCGGACTACAAGGCGTCGGAGCTGCCCTGGTACGACGTGAACCAGACGACGCTCTTCATCGACGCCATGGCCTGGCTCGGCCTGGTCTGGGACAGGAGGTCGGTGGACAGCTGGGTCGTGGAGAAGCGGGTGAGGAAGACCGGGGACGGGACTCACTTCAGGTGGGGGATCGGTGAGGGCGGGGAGGCGATCGTCGAAGAGAATGTGAGGAATTTTTCTGAATAATGAGCGGATCGATGCCGAAAAGCCACCTTGGGGATTCTGATTCGTATTTTTACACGAAAGAAACGGATCCGTGCGCTCACCTTGGTCTCTGCACATTAGGAAAACTTTGACGAATGTATCGAGAAGACGACCGGAAGCGGTGTGAGCGAATCGGCCATCCCGTCCCTCTTTTTGTGAAAAGAAAGTAGGTCTCAACTGGATATAGAAACGGGATTGCAAATCTTCGTGGAACACGTCGCAGACAATGACTGACCGTAAAAGCATCGGTCAACCTTTCCCCCTAGTTTGTGTTCCGTTCTGGGAAGTCGGAGGAGCGAGACGCGTGCTGCCCAGTCAAGCCGAATCGTTTCAACGAGAACGTTCTAAAAATAAAAAATGTAAATATCCCAGAAGATGCAGAATTTCAAGCGTCAAGGAACAAGGAGTATATTAAACGGGAATATTCTCCCATTGCAAAGGTCGACCGTTTATGCCGAAAAAAAGCGACTGCAAGTGTCAGTGCGACGCAATCGACATTCCCACGTGCATCTCATCTGATTTTTTTCGGCAGTCTTGCAATATGAGATAGCAGAATCACGTACGAATTCAGGAGATTGATTGTAAAGTGAAATGAAGCGGATAGATTTGGTAATTGATAAATGTGGCACCGAAGCCAGCTGGCAGTAAATGCGGCCCTGAGAAAATTTGAAATCGTCGTCCATCCAACCATGCATACCCTGTAAAATCGACATTCAAAGTAACATCTGACCGAAAATAATGGAAAGAAAAATCCCTCCTCGCGAGTTTTTCCATCCATCGCGACGCCCAAGACTTGCCCGGCCATAGAGAGAAGAGAGCGCCAACTAGAGGCTCCACTCCGCACGAATCCCATTCATTGACCGGGTCGCAACACAGATGTCGCTGTCGATCATCCTCCACCGAGCCCGCGCACATCAAGAACTCCATGGCGGAGCAGCGGATTCGACGAGCCAAGCACATTACGTCGGGGAATCCCTTTGGGTCGAATCCTCGAATGAGTCGATTCCCGACTTCGCTGCTGCGAAGCACGCCACATGCAAGTGTTGCCGATAACAAGCCACCAGATGTCTCCGTAATATTTCGACCTCTTCCCCCCCTTGCCCTTCGGAGTTTCGCCTCTAGTTACACTCTCTATGCTATCACTTCTTCGAGTTCTTTTAAAACCACAATGCTACAAGGTAAGAAAGGCCTCATGGAGTTTAAGACTATTCAAAACGTTGCAGAGTAGTTGGAAATCCTCTATAGACCTACAGTATAGAGCAAGAGTGCATTCGTTTATTCTAAATAACCGATATAGTGCTATGAGTGCTGTGGAGAGCTAGAAAGTAGCCTACTGTCGCCTACTGTTGCCCATGCGCGCTATAAAGGCGCGTTCAGCTGCACTAATTGTAATCATGGAATCGTTGTACAGTCTACCCTCGATATAGCGCCACCCGATTTACCGTCACTCTCGCTTAGCGCCAACTCTTTTTCTGAGAAGGTATCTTCCCCATAGGCTTATCATTGGCGCTCCCCCGTTATAGCGCCACTCTCGCAAGCCGCCATCCGCCAATACCTCGCCTTGCACAAAGTGCCTTATTCAACGTAAGTCGCACTCGATATAGCGCCAAGCAGCATACCGTATCAGCTACAATGATCATACCATGCACTACCGTGGTGGAAAAAAATGACATGCTGTCAGCCTTTCTTTTTGATCGTTTGATAACGAGATTGTGAGGGATGACTTAGCTTTGGCACGGACGCCAGGGATTAGAGGGGTAAGGGTCTCTTGGTCTCACCTAATCCTGCCTCTCCTTTTCTTTCTTTTGGAGAATGGAAACGCCTCTTTCGGTTCAAAGTTTCTCTAGACGATTGTTCAAGTGCGTTCATTATCCAGGAATGGGGGAAAAAAAAAAAACAGTTATAAGTGTGAGGGAAAAAGTGAAATTGTGTCGCTACGAGGAGGCACATGCGGCCGAAAGTCAGCAGAACATCGCGAATAATTTTTCTAAGCTGTGCAGTTTTTCTTCTCCATTAGCAGCATGGATAAATTAAAGTTGTTTTTTTTTGCTAATTATATTTTTAATTTGAGTTATTTCGAAAATTTTCCGTTTTAAAGCCGTGCATTTCGATGTAGCGCCAAAATCAGCGTAGACCAACAGTGGCAGTATATCGAGAGTTGACTTAACTAACTTTTGACTCTCCCCAGGTAGTCATTTCTCGGCGTTAGCATCACGCTGGTATTTCTCAATTCCTAAAAGAAAAAAAAAAACACTAGTGTTATATTCCACAACGCACATTTTCCGCTAATTGGAACCTATGCATGTGGTCTTTTGGTCTACGGCTCCCTTGCTGCAATTGCGAAATAGGTACGAGCCTGAATCAGATGGGTTGACGGTGGCTCGTCGGTCTTTTCCATCACGCTCTGTGGATTCTCCAATGGTTTCCGAGCAGTTAACCCGTCTGAAGAAAGAAGAGAATCGTGTCTGCAGTCCCCCGCAGTGACACGTGGACCCCATCACGCCCTCCGTTCGATCGTGGCCGAGGTTTCCGTCAACCCTTTCGCGCATCGTACTCGATGGATTTGTGGTTTCCGCTTTGTCTTCTTCCGGATCTGGGATCACAGATGCGTCTCCCTACCTTTCAAAAGCCGAGGTACTACCAAGTCTAGGTGACAACTCCATTCGGTACGAGCGGATTCACCCCCTTTCCTCTTCCCCCCCCTCATCCCCCCCCCCCCATCCCTACTCCCTTTCTTCCGTTGGGTCGTTCGGTTACTCCCGATCTGATCAAAAAGAAAGGGTCTTTCCTCAAGCGGAAGAGATCGTGATCGTTGGAGCTCATGCTCATTTCTCTATTTGTCTGCATTTGTAGATCTTCGATTTCAAAATATTCGTATTCCTTCGTGCAGACGGGACGTGGCCTCGCCGCGAGACCGCATCCGGTGACGTCACGTCGCGGGGTCTGCTCGTCGGCAGGGTTGCTGCGTGGGAAGATGTATGCAAATGGGAGGTTGGTGTCTGAAGGTCGACGTAATAACCGGACGGAGAAAGTGCGGATATCGTGACTTTACAAAAAAAAAAGGGGAGGGGGAATGCCAGCTGGAAATGCTGGAAATATCGGGAAAACGCTCTGAATAAGTTAACTTTATGACCGATGGCACTGAACTGAAGAGAGAGGGAAACCGGCACCTGGCGTTCGAATGCCTTTAATTCGCCTCGTTCATCCGTGCTAATATGCAAATTCGGTGCAGAGGCTGGAGACACGACCCGAGCAGGTTTCGTTTGCAGATTCTGTCGAGCGTATCCGCACGAAATCGTCTCGTTGCCTTCAAAAAGCGCTGGCTGAATTGTCGATGAAGTGCCGAACCTCGTGAGCGTTTTTTTCGCAAAATCTTCAGCTTACCCGCCTCGGCCGCAATGAAGTACGAGAATATTTCCTTCATCTCTTGGCCGTGAACGCGATCCGTGCCGAAGTGAAGCGGTCGCTTCGCTTCCATTCATTCGGAAGATGAGTTTCGTAGGATCCACAAGACAAAATGCCCATCTTAACAGCATGGGCACGAACCCGCCATGACATACGCGAGATACACGCAACAGCGAGCAGCAACGCTCCACATGAAACCGCTGCCGAACCGGCAGCACGCGAGACACGATGGCGATTGCTCAAACAATTCACGGGACCGGATGGGTCAAGGGGTAATTAGACAGCTACATTTTGTCCGCGAGAGGTCCGTTGGCACGTACAAGTCGAGTCGTTTTTATGATTATTTTTGTCAAATGGGGAAGGAACAATTACGCAAGGTATTTTCCAATTTGACGGAGCAGAGCTCCAACTCGTGTTAGATTCGAGAGGATTCGTGACCTTGATTCACCTCACCGCGGTCAGCACCCTTAACCGGATCCGGTTTTCGTGCGGCAAGGACGAAGGTGGTGAAATCGAGGGAGATCGTCGGTTGAAAACCTCTGCACGTCGCCGACTCGGTCCTTATCGTGGGACTTGCGACCCCAGAGGAGACGGAAGCGGTACTTCGCCGGGGTCACGTGATTCGGACGGTCTGGGATCCGACGCGAATGGAGAAGCAAAACGTTCGGGAGGGGAGGGGCAGGAAGGGAAATTCAAAAAAAAAAATTGGGGACACCGAAACGCGACAGGGACTGATGGCTCCAGTCACGTTTTCGCAGATACGAATCTGAAACGCCGTCTCCCCTCGGTCTCGGTGCTTTATGGATCCTTTTCTGGAGTCCTGTTTTTCGTCGCCTCGCCCTTTCGACCCGGTTCCCTCTCGATCCGCAAGGGTTGGTAAAGCGACGGGTTCATCCTCGCATCGAGTAGGTTCGCGTCTTCTTCGCACGCGTTTCCCTCCCGATTCGCGTGTTAGGGTCTAGGGCGAGGCGGGGAGGTTCCCGTGACGTCACGAATGGTGTCATTGGGGGGGAAGGGGGGGGGAGGGGGGGGTTCCCCGTGCCCAGAGGCTCCAAGCCGACCTTCCATTAAATTTTCGTCGATTGCAACTGCATTTGCTGGTCTCGTTCGAGCCTTGCGACCCGATGCGAACGTCGCCATCGAACGCGCGTTGCATTCGAGAGCCTTCGAGAAAATCGCGTCGTTCGTCCGCGCGATGTCACGGTGGGTCCGACGTCGTGTCGGTCACGATCGTCAATCACTTTCCGAAAGCTTCGTGCCGGCATTGCATCCGTGGAACTCGCAGAGAAAGGCAGCAATTTCTTTAAGGCAAATTTTTGCTCCCATGCGGCATCCTTCGGCCATCTCGCGCTCGCGGAACGATGACGTCATTTCCGCCTTCTCCGAGTTCCAGACTCGCAACCGCTTTCATCTTATTTATTTTGTTTGTCCCGTCCGGGATCCCGTTATTCGCCTCTCCGTCCTCGTTTCGACCGGGTCGACCGGATCGACGTCGGATCGACCGAGTCCGCGTCGCCTTCGTCGCCTTTTCCCATCGAAGCCTGCGTTTTATTTGCATGCATTTTTTAGTCTCGACG